CCAACATAGTACACTTTTAGTAACGATCTTTGAAAAATTCTAACAATAACAAAAAATTAAAAAATTAAAAATTGCAAATTTACATATTAATAAACAAGTTTAAAAAAAGAAATCAACTGTGTTTTAAAAGTTATAAATTAATTAGCTTTACATTTTCATATTCTATCATTGTAGTTATTAAAAGTTGGTCCATAAGACTATAGAAGTATATGCACATACTTTCTGAAGTAGCATGGCCATATCATGACTCCTTTCCTGCTTCTATTTTTAAAAATATTTTGACCTACAAACATAATAAATTAACCTTACCAACAAAAAAGAGTGAGATAAATTTACCTAAACAAATAAAAACTTTGAAGAGCAAATTCTCCAAGAATTACATAGAGGAGCAAAGAGAAAAATGAAATAATTTTTTTTAAAAATAAAATAATCATGATTTTTATCTTCACGAATACAAACTAATAATATTAAATATATGATTTCAACATAGAAAGAATTGTAATAATATCAAACATATCAAATTATTTTACCTTGTAAAATTGAATTATGCAAGGATATCTAACAATTTTCATTATAAATATTTCTTCTATAATCTGCAAAATATGATCGAATAAGTTAAAAAGTTATTCATCAAAGAAAATACAAAATGACGAATAAGGAGAAAATTACATTTAATCATAAGTCCTTCTGCATATATGATCATTTTTGACAAAACATAAATAGCCAAAAAGAATATAATATAACAAAAACTTTACTTCTTAAACACCTAAAAAAATAGAGAATAACCAACCCATATAATTCAAAATCCATTAATTTTCGTTTGAGTACTTTCACTCCTAAATAGAAAGGTCAAGAAACGTAATAAACAAATATTAATCCTAAAGTGAATCTCCATTATTATGGTTATAGTAAAGAGAATCATAAGGATAATACACCAAAAAATTTATCCAAATAATTATCCACAAAAAAAAATATACTTCAAAAAATTAGGCTTCCTAATTAAAAATAATATATGAAATCATAATTGCAAAGGATAAGGTACCTCAAAGCAAAAAAAAAAAAGATATTCTAACATATCTCCCACTAATTCTTCAACCGATGCAATGACACCAAAATAAAAATAAAAACTTTTAGTGTGATCTTATAGGTTATGAATATGATATGTTTGAGAGTTATGGATATTATTATTACTAATTAAGAATTTAATTTATGTAATTGAAGAGATATGAGTTAAGAAGATGATTTTGCAAGAAAAAATAATTGAAAGAAGTGAAAAAAAGAAGAAAAATAAGATAAATATGAATGGAGGCCATATAGAGGATATTATTTATACTAACTATTTTCTAAATGAATCAGAGCCAATCTGATCTTGTTAAAGATCTGATACAGAATGAAATTTTCAAATGATTCATATCGTCACGTGCACTTATTCCAAATTTCAATTCAATCAAATGATCGGTTGCTGGCAATATATCTCGTGATAACAAAAATGTTTTGTTCTGGGGTATATCAAAGTTTAGTCTTCGGTTCATATTTCGTCAACCAATCCTTTCTAATTCATCACTAGCAATTTATTTATTTTTTTGGTCGAAAAACTCTATTTATTTTGGTGTGGATGAAAGGCAACTCATTTTAATTTGTTTGTCTTATTTTAACTTGAAAGAGAATTTAAGAAAGTAATGAAGATTTTTGAATCTGATCATCTTAAACTAAAGATACATGAATGTAAACGATTTTTAATCTTGTGATACTTGTCATTTCCAAACATGTCAAATGAAAAATTAGAACTAAAAAATTATATTAAAAAAATACTATTTTTTAAAACGAACTAAAAAAAAGTAAGATCAACAAATTAAAACGAAAGAAATATATCTTTTAACACAAAGCAAGGGGGAGTCCATAGATTCATCCTTCTCTAAGTTTCATGCTTCTGTTGGCTAAAAATTATTTATTAAAAAACAAAAACAAAGGACATAAGTAACTTTCCACTACTCACAAATTTTAAACATAAATTTTTTTACTTAGTGAGGGATAAATATTAATGAACCTTTTTTTTTTCAACTTTTAAAGCCGTCCTTGGAAGTTCTTCATGGATATTATGTACTATATAGTAAACAAGAAGGAATCAAATAAATTTACAAAATGTTAGCTCCATTTGCCCTCAAGTTTTATGTTTGACTTCATCTCATATTATTCTTTGTCACTATTGAAGAACAAGTCTACTTACCAACTAGCTAGGGGACGAAAAAATAACTAAACAAATTTACCAAAATTTCATGATAAAACTATATAAAGGGACTTTCTTCATCTTTATGTTCATCAATTTCATGGCTTCTTTTTTGCCACATCTTGTATGGTTTGTGGCTATACTTTTGATATCCAATAGTGTAGAAGCAAGTCATAAACCTTATTCATGGAGAAAATATTATAGTTACAAGCCAGCACCAACGTCTACGCTTAACCCTGACGAGTTACCAGGTCAACCATCTCCATCACCACAACCATCATCCTCGGATTATTACATTTCTAGTCCACCATCACCTTTAGGGTGGTTCTCTCCTCAACCCTCCCTAGTGCCTTCACCTACACCAACCTCATCACCACTATCGCCGTCTCCAAATGATCTTAGTTCCCCTCCCTCACCTTCAAGATGGGCATGGGAACTATCTCCTAGTTATATGACATCTCCTCAATCATCGCATGTACTTGCACCTTCTTCCCCTAACCAGTCCCCACCATCACCTATAGAATGGTTCTCTCCTCGACCTTCCCCAGTGCCTTCACCAGCTACATCACCACTATCACCATCACCCTCACCTTCAAGATGGGCTCCATCCCCATATTTCTATTCATGGGAACTATCTCCTAGTTATACGACATCTCCTCAATCATCGCCTGTACTTGCACCGTCTAATCCTGACCAGTCCCCACCATCACCTATAGAATGGTTCTCTCCTCGACCTTCCCCAGCGCCTTCACCAGCTACATCACCACTATCACCATCATCTTATGATAACAGTTCACCACCCTCGCCTTCAGAGTGGGCACCATCTCCTGAGTCATCGGTTGTACCTGTACCTGCACCTTCGTATTCTGATAAGTCTTCACAATCACCTTCTCCATCACCACTTCCAAATTACTATTATAATTCACCACCTCCTCCATATGTTTACAACTCTCCACCACCTCCACCTTATTACTACAAGTCCCCACCACCGCCATCACCGTCTCCTCCACCACCATATTACTATAAATCTCCACCTCCTCCATCACCATCACCTCCTCCTCCTTATTACTATAACTCTCCTCCCCCACCATCACCTTCTCCTCCTCCTCCATACATTTACAAGTCACCACCACCACCACCATCTTCACCTCCACCTCCTCCATATTACTACAATTCACCACCGCCACCATCACCATCCCCTCCTCCTCCATATTACTACAATTCACCACCACCGCCATCTCCTCCGCCTCCACCTGCTTACTACTACTACAACTACCCGCCGCCACCTCCATCTTACTAAAAATTTCACATTATTTTTTCATATCTCTACTCCTAAACCATATCTGTACCATTGCACCTTCTTACGTGAAGTTTTTATTCTATCCATCTTTTATGACTTTTATCACAAGCCATATGGAAAATATATCTATCTGCAGGGTAAGAGTAATTAGCTCGAGAAATTAGAGATCAACTTCAACAATTTACTTTTATTTGTCCAATAGATCATGTGTTAATTTAATATGTATCCTCTTCAGTTTGTTAGTATGAAATGGAAAGTTGTTATGAAATGGTCTTTTTGTTCTTTGATTTGGAGTCTGCTCAATATCACTATGGTTCGTAATACAAGAATAAGGCTGACATAAAATAATTAAATAAATTCAAGAACCCCTAACTAAATGAGCACATTTAAAATTTTATATTTATCTTATACTAATGTATGTGCCTAACACAAGTCCAACAATGTATGTCCATCAAAGAGAGTTTTGTTATCTTTCTTTATTTTACATTAAGGGTGTGTACGGTTGGTCAAATAATTTGAAAAATATTTTCTCTAGGACAAGCTTTCAAACGGAAGTAGGGAAAACAAACTCTCTAGTGATATTCCACATTAATTGTGTCTTCCCCGCCCTTCAGGCTTCAACACACCTCATCTTCACCTTCACTCCCATAACGCTCATCCCCACCATCCGACACCCCTACCTCCCCACCCCCACCTATAGTCCTATAGTATTTGTTTAAGTTATACACAAATACTTTTAGAATAATACTTTTTGCTTACCTACCGAACACAAGAAAATAAGATAAGTCCTATAAAATATTTTCCTTCATACCAAACACATCCTAGATAGATCAACTTTTTCCTTTTTGTGGTCCTTGAATCCCTTCTTCTTCTTCTTTGTGAACACATACATAGTAATATCATATTATTAATGAAATTCTATAAGAAATTAAAGCAAGAACTATAGATCTTATTTTTTTTTAGGACATGTACAAAAGGATTCTTTCTATAATATAAGGTAACATTAGTGTTGCTTTTGAAAGAAAGACCAATTCCTTCATATTTCGACAAGGAAGATGAAACGAATACACCCTTTTATTAAAGAATATATCCTTTCATTTCAACTTTTGAATATTAATTAATATTTAAACAGTTTCTAATAGTAACGTATATTTTCATGGAGAGAAGGTATAAAGCAATAAAATATTTTTATCAGATTTCAGGTAAAATTTTACCTTAGATTTGCTGAACTTATGTAAGTATTGTCTCAATTATTGGAGAATCATTATTTAAGAACATAAAAGTACATTCAGTCATTTGAAAATGAGAACTAGTTAAAAAAATTATTTTGTTAAAATTTCCAGTAAAGCTCTAAAATTTTATAGATGATGTCATGTGGGTGGTGAAAATTAACAAATTAAGCATCTTTTTAGCTACCACATATATTTCTTCTAACAAAATCATTTAAAATCAAAATAGTTTGAAACAAACAAGAGAACACTACTCATACCACAATAAGGGAAACCATTCTTGAGAAGTTAACAAGATTGTAAAAGAGTTCTAGTCCAATGCTGCATTTGTTACAAACTACAACATTGTTGGATAATATAATTTTCGATTTGTGGCATATCGTCAGTTTCCTATCAGCAGAAAACAAAGGGGCAATGTTTCCCAATGTTGCTCGAACTTTTCAAAAATGTTCATGGGTGTGCTGGATCCTCCAAACGTAGTGCATTTTTGGAGGATCTGATACGGGTACAGCAACATATTTTGAGAGTCTGCACAACATAGGACTGCTCCATTTCCTATACTCTCATACCAGATCAATCTGCCCACTCTCCACAAGTGGCTTTATAGACTTGTAAGGTAGAGCATACAAATCATTGGCTTCAATGTTCACTGGTTCTTCCCCACTATCATCAAAGAAAATTAATGGAAGTCGAGAGTACAAAATAATCAGGCAGGATTCCCAAGAAAAATGACAATAAAGTAAAGAAGATTACCTGTCATCAAGTTGAAAAGATCCTAAAAACTTCTTGCTTCTGCAGATAACATATTGATCTAGTTGCGGCTCAAGAACTAAAATGCATACAAGAAGAGAAACTGTTGTTTCAGTACAAATGTAAATCTTGAAAATCTTTATATTTGAGATGTCTAAAATGTGAAAAAAGAAACAAACAGATACCAGGAGTGCAAGAGATTGCCTCATGCCTTAAACCAACTCACAATCAGGTTGCAGGTTTCGCAATTGATTAGAGAATTTAAATTGCTACACCATGTTCGAAGACGATTTAAATCACTTAGCAGCAAAACTTTATTATTATAAGATGCTTTTGATTAAGGCATAACCATTAATCTCGGATTCCAGAAACTCTTTTTAGCTCCACAATGACATAGATAAAGAGAAACACACAGAAATGGATAAACGAGCAGACAGAGGAAAGGATAAACAGCTTACCCATGTCATCTGCCAAACTTAGTGAAGATTGCTTCAAGTGGGACTTGAAGCCATGAGGCAACTTTGAGAGAACGGATTGATCTAGATGTTGCTCCGTATCATCAATACACCTAATCATCCCAGGTAATTAGCACTATAAACTTGGTAAGCATTGAACACTTAGAATTAAGAGAAACAGCTGTACCTTTCAGCAAATTTTTGTTCTTGTTTAGACAGACGATTCCATAAGTCGGTATTTTTTTGTATGTGAAATGCATAATTTTCAATCTGCAGTCAAACATTAATATGAATGAATGAATGAAGATGGGATAAGGTGTAGGGACACAGCAAGAGATGAGACCCGATGACACTCAAACAGATCATGCTTTAAAGACACTACTGGTAACTTGAAGAACTATAGCTCTTTCCAGATATGAATTTCACCTAAATCAAATACATAATAAGATACTATAATTCAACGCTACCTTTTGGAGACGGGTTCTTAAGTATGATCTTAATAGAAACAGAGTTCTATCAAGGTCCATCTGGTAAAGAGATAAAGTGAGCGGATCAACACCATTTTTTGAAAATTCCTCTACTGTTTCTTCCTGAAGAGCAAAGACTAAGTAGCATTAGCATGCAATACATTGTAAACCATGAAACTGCATAAATGAATAACGAGTAGCATAAGTCGAGGAACAAAAGCAAATATTACATTCATATAAATGAACAATACACCACAACATAAAATGGAACTTTTGGCATCATCAAATGAAATGTAGATTTGGAGTGTCGGAGGAGTTTTACATTCCACTTCGTTAAATATGACAATTAACAGATGTTGTACACCAAAAATGAAGATATGGATTACAATCCATTACATAGCAGTAACAACACACGTTATGATAATCTTTGTTTGGATGAGAGCACAACAACTTTTCCATTCAGATAGCACACAGTTTTAGCTTTTAACGAATAACTTCATTTGTGATTTACCAAACACAGCTGTGTCCTTTAACTTAGAATCTCATGGAAGTCATACTCCTATAAGAATATTCACAGCAAACACATCACCTAATAGCAGACAAAGTGCACACAGATGCTAGAATTAAATTATGTTAGGCAATAATTGAATAAATTGTTCAGTGTATTTTTTTCCCAGAAATAAGTTTGTCTATCTAAAAAGTTTAATCTCATCCTTTTAAACAGAACTGGAAGCTTCAGTTGCATCCTGCTAGAGTCTTGGACAACACAATTTTTTTCATTTTTCTATAGTATAGTCCCTTTATAAATACACTTCTAAAATGATGACATCAACTAGTAATTCTCAACCTGCTGAGCCATATATCCACCACATAATGCCAAACAAAGCATAAGTCTTAACACAAAAAAATATTAAAATAGAAAGGAATTCTAATAGAACATAAGGTGAAAGCCGATGTTAAAAAAATAAACCAGGTACAAATTTAAGAGGCCTAAATATATGAAATGTGCATACCATCAATTGAATTTGTTCTCTGGATCTTTGAACCAAAGCAGTCTCATGTTGAAGAATTTCAGGAGCAGCCTTTTCATTCCGCCATGCTCGTTTTAAGAGCTCCGCATCAGTCGTTGAAAGTAAAGACTCATAATCATCATCCACCCCAGCTGAATATCCAGATGCATCACCTGAATCCATTGTCAACCCGATACTCTCTCTCTCTACTTTTTTTCCTCGCCAAAGATTGAAGCTTTTTCTCGAGTAGAACAAATCTTGAGAGCTCAAACTACGATCAGGAAACAACAAAAATTTAGATATCAGAAATAGTAACTGGGCAATCAATGTATTTTTGTTCTCTCCATCACATTAAGGTTCAACACAAGAAAGTCAGAAAAACATTGGCTAGAAATATCAATATAAGATGAGCATTTTCACAGTAAAAATCATGATGAAACAAAGAGACGTCAAAAATAGGACTTTTGTCCAGAATACACCATAACTGAAACATAGAATGTTCGCCATTTCAGAAACTTACAGTTGAAACATGAAGCTACCTACACATCCAAACATTGTTCCAGAAAACCCATATCAGAAAAGAAAAACACTCATCTCAAAGGTTTCCCCCCAAAAGGGGAAAGATACTAGCAATATGCAATATCAAAAAGTTGTAAAACAAAACCATAAACTACAATATAAGATTCTAAATGAAGATTTGAAACACCTAAAATATAGCGCAATATTTCGAAAAAGGTTAGAAATTTAAAACAATTTATGTTTTTACGCTTGCCCTTCTTGTAATTCTCCACTAATGTAGGTCACTTGGCCTAGGATCAAAATACGGGTCAATAAAGCCCAATTTCTTTTCTTTCTTTCTTTTCAAGCGTACTTTTCTTTTTCTTCCTTTCTTCAACTTGCTCTTCTCTTTTTTTAATAGCACAAATACCTCTTCTTGTCAAGCTTTTGATTTTTCTCATGCCTCAACTCAATCACTTCACCACAACTCAAAAGACCTCCAAACTTAGAATTATGTGCATTCATCCAAGTTTTAAAGTGCTCAAGAGTCGAGGGAATAGGGTATAAATGATAAAAACAAAATAAATGCAGGATTAAGGAAGGAAAAAAAATTCCAGAAAGCCATAGAAACAAATAGCAACAAAACTAAATCCCCCATCCCACACATAAATAAATACCAGGCAAGGTGAAAAGGAAGTCCCCTCAACAGTACACGGGTCACCACCACAGCAGGTGGAGCATCAGATTGATTCCATATATTAACTCTGTCATTCTCTCTGCAACATTCTATTCCACATTGTTGTCTTGGAAAGGGAAATTAACAAACAATTGACATGTCCCACTTTGTATTTTCAAAATAACACTAACACAATGTATTCATCCTCCATGCAGCTCTTCAGAAACACACTTAGAACACCAAAGATAGTCACTTATCCTGGCCATTATCGTAATCCTACTTAATTCAGCAATGCATTTTTTTAATTCACAACCCTAGCCTAGTTATAAGTCAATGCCAAAGGATTGTTTGCCTCAGTTACCAGAAACTTTCATCTCGACTGCACAGACACAATACTCTACAAACCTGCCTAGACCACCCCACAATTGCTCATGTAACTCATTTTTCACTCAGATGATTCATCAAACAGCTTATGTGCATGACATAACAAGTATAGCTAAAACGCTAAAATGGTCATGTAACCTCCCAATTTTGTAGGGAATTATAATTATAGTTCAATAACCACAATTGCAATAACATTCAACAATTCTCAAAGAACAATTTGAACATGACAATCAAAAATCACAACCAAGTAAGATCTACTTTTACAAACGAGCTAGAGAGAGAAAGTAATTCGATAAAGAGAGAGAGAGAGAGAAGAGACACTTACCTAAACACACAGAGCAATGGCGAGAGATGTGAGCTCACTTGAGTGAAAATGACAAATTTGATCTTATACGTGTAGAAGAAGATAATTTTTTTGTGTTATTTCTGATTCGTTTAAGAATATCTTTTTATCTAATAACAAATTTGATTTAATAGATGGATAAGAATATTTTAAAAATATTTTTAATAAAATAAGGATAATTTTTATCCTTTTTCGTTAATAAAATTAAAATTGTTCGCTGTTTTTTGTTAAATCATCAAGCTTATAGTTTAGGCTCTTTAAGTTTGTGGTGCAAAATTAAAGATTGCTATTTTATTTTCTTAGTGTTTAAGAGAAAATGATCAAAATGGTCCTTGATGTATAAGGATTAAAGTATTTTGGTCCTTTTATATATATCATCTCATCCAAATAGTCCTTAATGTATATGAAAAGATGATCATTTTAGTCCCAAGCCCTAAAACTAACCAAAAAAATAAAAAATCTGTTAAATTTAACGGTGGGGCCCACACTTGGTGGAACCCTTCTTCCTCCCTCTTTCTTCCGTAATCTCTTCTCCTCCATCGATTTTCTTAAACCATTTTTTTTACAATTTTCAATTGATCTATTTTTGTTTCCACTGATAAAATCCTCTCATACAGACACAAAGTTTCTTAAGATTTTTATTTTCTAGCTCTGTCCATTCAGTTTTAATCCTTTTATTTGAAAAATGGAATGAATATAGATGCTGGAAAAAAATACTCGTAATTTTGAAAAGGATAAAACAAAAAGAAAATTAGTTACAACTTAAAAGGAATTGATTTATGGTGCTCTCGAGGAGAAATGGAGTCGTTTAACTAATTTACTTGGTTCACATTTGTTTTAGTGATCTTGATTTTCTTCTTCTTCTTATATAAGAAAATAGGAGTTGCTCAAATTTTTGTTCTGACGAAAGATAAGAAATGAATGTAGTGTGTATTATTTTTCTTACAAGGATACGGAGTATGACCTTGTGAAAGAAAGAAGTTGAGGAAGCAGGGTGCCATGGTGATGGTGAAAGAAGACAAATTGAGGAAGAAAGGGTTTTACTAATTTATAAATTTTTTTTAAAAAAAAAGTCTGGCATGTTGTGGGACCCACTATTAAATTTAACAATTTTTTTTATTTTTTTGGCTAATTTTAGGGATAAGTACTAAAATGATCAAAATACTTCAACTCCTATACATCAAGGACCATTTTGATCATTTTCTCTGTTTAAGACTATAGACACGTTATACTTCATTTCTAGACTTCTCAATTGACCAAATGGTTCGATTCTTATATCCTTACCATCCAACAAAACGTCAAAAATTATTTAGAATGAGGTTCAATGCGTTCAACACCAAATTTCCATCACTTCTGACCTCCTCAATTTGGCATAACACTAAAATCTTAAAAAATATACAACTTTTGGGTCTAGTAGTTGGGCTTCCATATATTGACTCTTAATTTTCATGGCGTTGCTCCCTATTAAATTCACAAGAACTATTAGAATCATCAGAAAATAAAAATTGGAAAAAGCGAATAATACTTGGGACAATTATTTCATTTACTACTATACTATTAACAAAATTTTCAATCATAAAGTTTGGAAAAGTCACACAGCCCCATGTATGATCAGAAGATTTGGAATGGAGTTTAAGAAAAGAAAGAAGAATTTTTAATCTTGTGGTTCTAAATTAAAGTTATGTCAAATATACCAAAATGTCTTTAATCTTGTGGTTTTAAACATGTCACGTGGAAAGTTAAAGTCAAAAAAAGAAATGGTTCATTCTTTCTGAAACAAACTAAAAAAGAAACTATATCATTTTTTTAAAAACGGATGGAGTATTAGTTATGACTAATTGCTTACGTGGCGAAAAAAAGTTTCATTATTGCAAATTAAACAATTCTTTAAGGATGAGATTGAAGTCTATCTACCAAAATATGGCAAAAGATCATGAGGTGAGTTTTGAGGATTTTCCTTTTATGAATTTATTTTGATTGTATTAATTGTGAGAAGACAAACTAATTTGGTAATAATATTACAATTTTTAGATAAGAATTGCTGATATCATGTATATTAGATAAGTTATACATCTTATTTTGTATATATAAAGAAAGAAAATCAATATATATCTTACCTAGTTTGAGTTTGACTAATACATTGTGATTAATTGTGTATATTTGATATATTATTGCATGATTTTATGTATTAAATTCAATAAAAACAATGATTTATCTATGTTTTGTACTTTACATTTATTCAATAAAAATAAAAATTTACCTTATCATCACCAGCATTTTAAAGAACTTTACACTATTTTATATATCATTCATGTCATTATTGGGGCATAGTTATTTGTTGTTAATTTTTATTTTACTTAACATGTAATATACTATACAACTGTTTTGTTAAAGATATTGATATATAAAACTTAATTTTAATTAATAAATGATAATTGATGATCAAACGAGTAATATATAACAACAATATACAGTAAAAAATTGATCTTGTTGAAAGTATAAACTTGGAAAGTTAGTCAACACAATAAAAATGATAAAGAAAAATGGATAGACCCCAAATAATTAAGTTATTTTCCTAATTACCAAAATCAGGAGGATCTTTAATCTCTATATAAAGCTAATTACTAACTCAATATATAAGATGAAAAACTCTAACAAAAATCTTATAAATTTTTCTCTCATGGAAGAAGAAAAACAAATTGTTTGTGGCCAATTACCCCAAACATCTCTTAGTGATTTTGATCCTCCCAAATTAAAAACTAGAAAAAGAAACAAGTATGCAATTGCTTGTTCTTTTCTTGCTTCTTTGTCATCCATCTTGCTTGGTTATGGTAAGAATTCTTTTTCCTAGAGTTTTCTCGTCTGATTCACATACTAGTTATCATGTAATTTTAGATGTGTTACGTTTTACTACATAAATTTAATTTATGAGAATATTTGATAAGACCTTTATATATATTTGTATAACGTACGAATTTGATAAACAAACATAAGAAGAAAAAAAAAATAGAATTTGCATTTCAAATTATTGCGGCTCGTTCACATAATATTGGGTTAAACTTGAAATACGAGTATCTATCAAAAGAATATTTGAATGTTAGTATTATGTTTAGACACATAATAAAAATTATTGAATTTTATGAGAAAAAATCATTATTTTATATAATAATAAGTTAATAATTTTGGGACATAAATTGCTTTGCTTTACTTTAGGCATAAACAAAGATCATCAATATAGGATGTGCTCATAGAATTTATTTTCCTTATTATTTTTTAACAGACTTGATATTTTAGAAAATCTTTTTAATTAAAATCGACAATATTAACCCCAAAATCGAGGCATTTGCGTGACTAATCAATCGTTGAATGAGAACTCTTAACAGCTTAATTAATTGACTGTGAATGCAGATATCGGTGTGATGAGTGGAGCCATAATCTACATAAAAAAAGACCTCAACATCAATGATGTACAAGTGGAAATTCTAGTAGGAATCCTCAATCTCTATTCTCTTTTGGGATCCGCCGCCGCTGGCCGGACTTCTGATTTGATAGGCCGCCGGAGCACTATGGTGGTAGCGGCGGTAATCTTCTTAATAGGAGCACTCTTAATGGGCTTCGCTCCTAATTATGCCTTTCTCATGTTTGGCCGTTTCATCGCCGGCATTGGCGTCGGCTACGCTCTCGTGATCGCTCCCGTTTACACTGTCGAGGTGTCGCCGGAATCTTCTCGAGGATTTCTCACTTCTTTCCCTGAAGTTTTTATTAATGGAGGTACGTGCATGAGAGCTAAGAAAATTGAAATTAGTTACAAATTTCATTGCTAAATTGATCGGCTAATCTAAACGGGTTATTGCTAACAGGTATATTGTTGGGATATGTGTCTAATGTCGCATTTTCAAAACTCCCAACACACTTAAGCTGGCGATTCATGTTAGGAATCGGAGCAATTCCATCTGTATTCTTAGCTATAAGTATCATAACCATGCCGGAATCACCCCGTTGGCTTGTCATGAAAGGTAGACTTCATGAGGCACGAATCGTGCTTAACAAAACCTCTGAATCACCTGAAGAAGCGGAGTGTAGACTTCGTGACATCAAAGAAGCTGCTGGTATACCTGAACATTGCAATGACGATGTAGTTCAAGTACCAAAACACCCGAAAGGTGACAATGTATGGAAAGAACTATTCATTTCTCCTACGCAATCCATCAAACACATAGTGCTCACTGGTATTGGTATACATTTTTTCCAACAAGCAAGTGGAATTGACTCTGTTGTTCTGTATAGTCCCACCATTTTCGAAAGAGCTGGGATTAAATCGGACCACGATAGGCTACTAGCTACAGTTGCAATGGGATGTGTGAAGACGTTGTTTATATTAGTTGCCACATTTTTACTTGATCGAGTTGGTAGAAGGCCCTTGTTGTTAACAAGTTTTGGTGGAATGACAATTTCATTAGTTTTACTCTCTATTGGTCTTACGGTTATTGATCGTTCAAATGGTCAAGTGACATGGGCAGTAGCGCTCTGTGTCATGATGGTGTCAGTTTATGTAGCACTTTTCTCAATTGGTGCAGGTCCAATTGCTTGGGTGTATGGTTCAGAGGTTTTTCCGTTAAAACTAAG